CCTGGGTTAAAATCCTGACTCGTGTGCTTGCCAGAGTAAGCCTGAGTTTCTCATCTCTAAAATGGGGATTTTAATAACTTTTTAATTAATTCCTCTAGGGTGATTATGATGAATAAATTAGTTAATGCATTTAAAGCACACTTAGAAGAGTGTAAGTGCTAATTCTTGTTATTATCACTTTACCATTAATCTTTTAGGAAGCTGAGAATGGGTACATGGGAATGGGTACTCCATTCCCAAAGTAGTGTGAATTTTGTTCAGTGTGCCTTATTGAGCACATTATAGAGCTACAGTAATCAAGAGAGTGTGGTATTTGCATAAATACAAATGGATGAATGGAAAGAATAAATCTAGAAATATATCCAAACATATTTAGTCAATTGATAAATATAACAAAGCAATTTAGAGGACAGAAGTATAGTGTTTAACAAGAGGTATTAGAACAATTGGACAACCATATGCAAAAAAGTGAAGAAAAATATAGGAAAAAAAAAAATATGTTCACTGTGGCCATTATTATAATGTAGAGAAAACTGGAAACAACCTAAGTGCCCAACAATAGGAGAATGGTTAAACAAATCTTGGTAGTTACTCCCTTACAATGAAATACTATCCTTCCTTAAAAGTATTTATGAAAAATGTTTCATGACTTGGGACAGTGCTCCCAAAATAATGCTAACTGGAGGGGGAAATGACACAAAATTTTATATATATAACGATTCCTAAAGACATAAAAACTAAGCTCAGACATAAACTAGAAAGACATATTCTCAAGTAAGAAAAAATGGTTATATCCACCTGGTGGAATTAGAAGTGTTTATATTTTTCTTTTAGTGTTTTCCACAATGAATATGTATTATCCTACTATCAGTTTAAACAAAGGCAATTATTTTTTCTTTAAATCGAGCTGCACCAAGATCCTCAAGCAGTTGGTAAAAACAGCTAAAAAGCTGCCTGCCTCTGCCTAACTTTAAGTAGCTACTTTCCTTGGGTAATACCATTGAACATCAAATAACATAGAACATACCAAAAAGAATGCTCAACTTTGAAACTGAATTAAAATACAAGTATTATTAATTTTGTTTCATGTTTATTTCGTTATTATTTGTAAGATTATGTTACCAGAACAAAATAGATTTAACTATTTAGAGGTCAAAAACCCAGGAGTGGATTTGCTGAAAAAGATAATAAGGGACAAAAGTATGACTAAGGAGGAAGAACAGCTGTTGCTAATCCAACTATTTACCCTTTGACCCTCTATCTGGCCAATAACTGAACAGTATCAATTGTTTTCCTGTATTATGTGCTGTTTACAATCCCTGAGAGGCATGAAAAGAATTAATAATTTAGCCTAGAAAGCTGACAGCCTTTATTGGGGAGCCCCTTGTCTGTGGAGCAGAAATCAGAGCAAGTAGCTATCCTAAAGTCACAGGTTCCTTTACTGTTCCAGTTTTATAGCCTAATTGGCACCCAAACATAAATCAATTATTTCTCCTGTTTTAAGCAACAATGCCTTCTATTCTCTAACTTCCCTTGTATCAAGTCAGTCCTTGTTCTCTTTAGTTTTACAACTACACGGTAAACACGATGGCTGAGGTAAAAACTCAGGGAGCAGGGCAGACTGGGGTTATGTGCAAACAGAAGCATGGAAAGGTTATGCTGTTTTGAACTTCTCTTGACCTTTGACTGCCCTTGTCCCTAGCTTATGCTAATGGTTAGGGTACAGAGATGCTTCTTGTAGAAATGAACTTAGCCTGAACCTGTGCCATAACATTGGACTCCAGGGAGCTCAGGAATCATAGGAAGACAGAGAGAGCATGGATAGCTGCCCATATTCTAAACATGGCTACCCATCTGCTCTATCACAGAAAAGGTTTAAAAAAAAAGCCATCTGAATTGGACAGTCAGTTGTTCCTCATCTAGGCCCAATATATTCCACCTGTTGATCCAAAATTGCTGTCTATAACCACTGCCAAGTACATTAGGAAATCAGCAATGATAGTATTTCCTGTTCTAAAGTAAGCAAGTATGAATAACCTTTCCCCAGCAGGAACTTGACGGGTAGGTGAGGCAGTGGGGCCTCTAAATTCCAAAGATGCATCACAAAGAAATCCCTATTGTTGTCAATCTAATGTGTAAAAGTCATGAGGTTTTGACATAGATGTTACTCCTTCCCAGTCAGAAGCCATGGAATTTGCAGTATTAACATCCACAACCAATTAACACACACAGCCCATTTCAGTCTTGAGGGTCTGAGCATGCCCATTTGAACCCCAAGAATGGTTTAGACGAAGATGATAAATTGTTATTTCTGCCCACTTATTATCACATCTTTATATATTTCCTCAAAGAGAAAGAATAAAAACTCTACTAACTTCACAAAGATAAAATGGGGATGACTGATTATATTGCTCACATAAGCTAAGTGCAAATTTTAAAAGAAAAGTGGTTTTTTTAGATGATTCTCATTCTACACTGATATAAAAATAATGATTAAAAATCTTTTCATTTTCATGGAATGCTGAAGTCTATAAATCACCATTATCTAGCTAGAGATTCTATGCGAAATGTTAAGTGAATTAAGATTACTTGGCCTAGAAGGAAGAATAATTCAATAATAATCTTTATAAGAATATCAAGGGCCTTTCCTAGAGGATGGGCCATAAGCTATTTTCAATTGCTACTAAGCACAACAAAGGAGATTAAGTTTGAGTACTATGTGCTAATATAGAGGTTTAAAAAATGCTTTTTCAAATAATTTCGAACAAATATTTCCCAGTAGACTATTAAATATATGAGGCTAGGACCTAGACTTATTTATTTGATGTATCCTTCGAGACTAGAGCTGGGCGTGGAGCAGACAGAACATACAATGTTTAACTGAGTTCTCAATTACCTGGCGTATTCTATGTGTAGTTCTATTAAATTGTAGGGCACTTCAATGTCCCTCCTAGTGTACAAAATGCTTCTAAGAAAGGACAATGACTCAAAAATTTACCTTTTCTTCCTCCTAAATGAAGGCTATCCTTAAGAGAATGATGAAGAGAAAATCGTGTGTTCACCCATAGGTCCCAGGATGTCAGGTGGGACAGCGGGATAAACTGAGCCTATGCCACCTACAGAACTGTCTCTGAACTTTGACTCCTCAAAAGACAAATATATTTCCCTGGTATTTGATAAGCATTGTGGAACTTACTTTGTCTTACAATTAATTAATGTTAGTTGAATAAACATGAATATTTATACAATTAAGGCATGTGAGGAAAATAGTGAGAATATCCATACTGTCAGAGATTTGATACTAGCCAAGATGGTAAGGTGAATTCATCACTTACCTCCGCAGAAGATTGGTGACAGTCAGCCCCATGATTCTAAAAAGTACTAAAACTAGAAAAATAACTAGATCATCTCATGGATTCTAACTGAATAATCATACAACCTATTGGCAATACAGCAAAATATTCCCATGTTGTATTTCTATAGTTAGAATCATATCCCAGAATGATGTATGCAACATTTTGAAAGCACGGGAAAATACACAGATGACTATCTATGATCAAGACTTAGATAGTCCTAAAAAGCATCATTTCATTAGGCTTTGAAATGGTCACCTTCATACCTTAACCTTAAGAATGTAGATGAAGGTGCTTTAGAAATTTCACTACAGAACAAAGGTTATCAATTATAAATGTCTAAAACAAGCATAATCCTTCTTTTAAAAAGATTATGTCAAAACTAGTCAATCCTTTAGCAAAATGGTTGTGGGTGTATGGTTGTATGTGTACATAATGAAAACCCAGTTTTCATTGTTGGTTTTATGGGAAGACGGAGAACAGGGCAAGGAGATTAGTATCAAATAGAAATTTCTAGCAAACCAATTTTCTATTAAATGGCTAGATTCCAGACATTGAATAATATTATAAGAAAAAAGGAAAGCATAACTAAAAAAGATAGAAAGCTCACCCCACAATTATGAAGTGAAATAAAATCTAAGTCAATAAGGCCTATCAATGACACCTTAAGTTATACATTTAAAAGCACATACACATTCTTTTCTTACCCATGAACACTGGGGAACACTCAGAACTTACTAGTTCCTGGGTCCAGCTCTGCCAATTCATCCTGACAAAAACCTAAGAAGAAAACAATAGGAAAAAAAATTATGATTCTTGAATTACTCCAACATGACTCCAAATATGAAAAAGCAAGTATCATAGTGGAAAAAAAAATCCAGACTCAGATGTCAAATTTAAGTTTGAATCCTAGCTTTAGAACATTTCGTTACTTTATCTCTCTGAGCCTCTATTTCATCATCTTTATATTAAAAAATGGAGACAGTAACAGCATTTATCATTGACTAGAAATGAGGATTGAGAGAGATACTAATATGCTTATTTAGCACAGTCCTTGGCACACAGTGGGAGCTCAATGAACACCATAATTATGAATAAGCATGTCAATATTCCTTGGAATAAAAATTCACAGGAACAAGAAGAAAACACAGGCAAAAATCTCTTGAATATAAACATGAGCAAGTTCTTCCTGAACACATCTCCTTGGGCAAGGGAAACAAAAGCAAAAATGAACACATGGGACTACATCAAACTAGAAAGCTTCTGTACAGCAAAGGACACCATTAGTAGAACAAAAGGGCAACCTACAGTATGGGAGAATACATTCACAAATGACATATCTGACAAGGGATTAACATCCAAAATATATAAAGAACTCACATGCCTCAACAACCAAAAAGCAAATAACCCAATTAAAAAATGGGCAAAGGATATGAACAGAAAATTCTCCAAAGAAGAAATTCAGATGGCCAACAGGCACATGAAAAGATGCTTCACATCACTAATCATCAGGGAAATGCAAATTAAAACCATAATGAGATATCACCTCATACCAGTTAGGATGGCCAACATACAAAAAACAAGAAACAAACCCTGGCAAGAATGCGGAGAAAGGGAAACCCTCCGACACTGCTGGTGGGAATGTAAATTAGTTCAGTCATGTGGAAAGCAGTATGGAGGTTCCTCAAAAATCTAAAAATATAAATAGCATTTGACCCAGGAATTCCACTCCTAGGAATTTACCCAAAGAATACAAGATCCCTGATTCAAAAAGACATATGCACCTCTATGTTTACCACAGCACTATTTACAATAGCCAAGATATGGAAGCAACCTAAGTGTCCATCAGTAGATAAATGGATAAAGAAGATGTGGTACACAATGGAATATTATTCAGCCATAAGTATAATAAACGCTTTTACAAAAAGGAAAGCAAAAGGTGCTATGGAGACCTTTGCAACAACATGGATGGAGCTAGAGGGTATTATGCGCAGTGAAATGAGCCAGGCAGAGAAAGACAAGTACCAAATGATTTCCCTCATTTGTGGAGCATAACAGAGAAGCAAACCTGCAGGAACAAAAGAGCAGCAGACTCACAGACTCTAAGAAGGGACTAGCGGTTACCAAAGGGGAGGGGTAGGGAGGGTGGGTGGTGAGGGAGGGAGAAGGAGATTGAAGGGTATCATGATTGGTGCACATGGTGTGTGTGGAGGTAATGGGGAAGACAGTGCAGCACAGAGAAGTATTGACTCTGTGGCAGCTTACTATGCTGATGGACAATGACTGCAATGGGGTGTGAGGGGGACTTGATAATATGGGTGACTATAGTAACTAGCCACAATGTTTTTCATGTTAAACCTTTATAAGAGTGTATATCAATGATACCTTAATAAAAAAAAAATCACAGAAAGAAAAACTTTCAATTCATTTTATCTTTCATGTTCTACTTAATACCAATTAATTTTCCAAAAGAAGGCAAAATATACAAAATATGAACTTAAATATCAAGCAGGATCAATTTGCATTTAGAAAGTATACTTCTAAGTGTCATCATGGTTCTCACTATAATTTAGACTCAACCACAATGGTCAATTATATCCTATAGATCTTCCTTGGTTCTCAAGTTATTGTCCTGGTCAAGTCAATTCACAGTTAGATAACTTTTTTAAAGTGCTTTCTTTCCATAACTATAATGGCAGCCTCTGAACTGCTGTGTTTTCCCAGACTTCATGTTTATCTGGAACTGACACTGTTTATCTACAACTATATTTTATTGAGGTATATTTTGTGTTTGTAAAAAGGAGTTGAAAGAATTACTTAGAACACTCCAACTCTGGACCAGGTTTATTAGTTCAGTAATATCTAAGAACCATATGAAAGTATCATTTTTTAAGTCAAATGTTTAAATGTCAGCAATTCCATATGATTCAACCTAAGAGTTTAAACTCCTTTACATACCCTAGAAAAAAAAAGGAGTGTTTATGAAGTATTAAGACTGTCTAGGCCCTGCCACAGACATTTTAAATATTCTGTTGCTACTTATACTCTTTATAAGGAAGCAACAGCCAAAATAAACTTAGTATAAAGGCAAATAGATTATTTTTTTTCATATTGATATAAATACTGCACAGATTCCCTCCTCTGAGTCAGGAAAGCAGTCATAACCCCAGCCTTGTATAGTAAAGAAAACACTAGAGCAGAAATCAGGGGACCTGAGTTACATTCTATTTTTCCATTTCCTGCCTGTATGACAGTGAGTCAGGCACCAATGCTTAGTCATTTTTCAGATCTCTATGAAAGCTTAGGGATTAGCTTTCCAGAAGGCCTTCCCTGAGTATCATTAAGGTTGAGGTCTCTATAGCACCTTTTGCTTTCCTCTTGTAAAAGAATTTATCATACTAAAAATCATTTCCATAATGTCAGTATTCTTCACTATTAAATATTGTTCATTCTTTAATTCTTGGTATCTAACCCAATGCCTGACACAGAGAAAATGACCATGTACTGTCATTGTTATGTCAACGAATAAGGAAATAAACCTTAAAAAAAAAATCAAATATGATGATTTTACTTAAAATTTCCACATGCTTAAGAGTTTTACTTATACAAACAAATGGAAGCAATTCCTCCATTAATGAAATGCTATTCAGGTTGGAATAAAATACCTTTGAAAGACCATTTCAGGCCCAAAAAAGTCTGATCTACAACTGTCTGATTGGCTTGTAACTATCACACTCAAGGGAGAAATCAAGCACAGTGAATGGGAAACACACAGCACATGTTCTAAACACAGCTGATGAAAGTTACTTTTTCCCAGAATGGCTGCCTACTTTTTCCACTGTGCTTTCAAATCATCCTCAGTTTAACTATTTCCTCAGGAAAGCTTTTTCTTGCTTCTCTTACCCTGTGTCATATACAAGGTCACAGCCCCCTGTTATAATTATCTATAATACTTTGTGCACTCATCAACAAGCAAGTTCTTGTTCAATGTCTGACTCCACTATCAGACTGCTCATAGGCGAAGGCACCTGGCCTATCTTGTCCACAACTGTATCTCCATTAGCTATCACAAGTCTAGCACAAAGTAGCTGTTCAATTAGCATCAATAGTAGTATCTTGACAGTAAAACTAAAAACAATAGAGCAAAACTAGGACTAGAGGGATATGAGAGCATTTTTTGTCATCAGATTTGGGCAACGAGAAGCCAGACCAGCAACTGGGAGTCCACAGAGAGGAGGGATTCAAGTAGCGGGTAGACTATTAAACATACTAACTTTTTAAAGTTCCTTGCAACTTGGGCTGTTTGGCCATGCCATTCACCAAACATGCCACATCCCCTCTTGCCTTCCTATGCTTCCTCCTCCTTTTCCACTTGTTTAAAGAACTATTCATCATTCGAGATCCAGCTCAAATGTCAATTACCACTGTGAAACATGGAAAACAGAAGAAGAACCCTCCTGCATTCACCGAGGATAAAATAACAATTTAAATATTTGCCTCCTCCACTAGATAGTGAGCTCTTCAAAGGTACAAACCATGTTACATCCATCTGCAGAACTGCTTCTATGCCCATAACAGTTGCCAATACATTATGGAAGGTGCTCAAATGCAGGACAAACTAAACAAAATCCACAACCCTGCCTTTAGATCACAGTCTAGGGGAAGAAAGTCACAGAATCAGAAAATTCAAGCCTAACCTGAAAAGTGTATGGAAGATCTAAATAAGGAAATGTGATCTAGAACATCAGAGTTTGGAAGCTGGTAAAAGTGGCTGAGATGCCAGAGAAGCTCACCTCGCAGCAACTTTAAAAGCCTTTCTACATAAAGAGAATGGGAATCAGCAAAGCTGTGGAGAGATGTCAGGCAAAAAGGAAATAACTATCATTACACATGGGTTCAATATTGAACATCCTGCCAGAATTGAAACTGAGAGTAAGCATTCATTTAATATAAACTGACTCAAAAATAGGACAAAAGCATGGGAAACCAGGGTAATATAATAGGAAAGTTAGACCTCTCCTAAATTCTAATTAAAGCCATTATATGATATGACTTTTAGGCAAATCAGTCCCTATTCCAGACCTCAGATTCTGGACATTAAATGAAAGGACTGTACTAGAAGTATCAAGAAAGGACAAAGCCTAATGCTTTTTCTGAAAATGAACAACATTCTGAACTCAAAGTAACAAGAACAAACACAAAGAGAACAAACATAAAAAACAAAGAAAATACTAAGAAAAATAGTTAATAGTGGGTATCCACTGCTTTTATCTACCTAGCAACAACTCTGCCCTTCTGCTAATGGCATACTGATTTTTCTTTGAAGACTTATCCCTTCACTCTCTCAGTCCATATGAACCAAATAGGATTGACCCTAACACTGTTTTAAAGTAGGATTAACAACCGCACCTACCTTAGAGGTCTGTTGAAATGATTAAATTAGACAGTGGTATGTAAAGGCTTTTCACAGTACTTGACAAAGTCAGAATTCAACAATGGGAGCTACTACTAACTAATCCTTAAGGTCCTTCCAACCAGGGCTATATCTGTGGCAGCAAGGAGCAGATTATTTATAGGAAGTTAAATACTGACATTATCCTTAAACACCTGGGATGAAACCCTAATATGACTAATGTCACTTTAGTTACCTGGTGTGATTCCTGAATTGTTTTTCTAGCTTGAGCCTCTATTGCTTACAATTCCAGATAAATGCTGACCCCTAAGGAAAGAAGGACTCTTTATGTTTGCCTCAAAACAAATTCCTCCAATGGTAACAAAAA